TGGAGTGTACCGTATATAGGAGGGGAAAAGTTAATAAATAAGTAAATCACAAGTGAATAGATAATTCCAAATGTGTTAAGTATGATTAAAGTGCAATGAGGAGATCTACTTTAGATTTTGGACTCAGAAATGACATTTAAACTGAGGCCTGAAGGTAGAGTAGAAACTAGTCAAACTAAGTCAGGAAAGAACTCTCCTGGCAGTCCCTTGGGGTAGGGGGAAAGCTTGGCAAGTTTCAGGAACCAAAACAAGGTCATATGGCTGAACATTATCAAGGGGAAATGGTGCCAGTAAAGATAAAGAGGGAAGAAGGAACCAGATCATACAGAAACTTGTAGGTCATGTTAAGGGTTTGGGATTTCATCCCAGTAGCAAGAGAAATCTATTGAAGGGTGAAGTAGGGTGTGAAATGATCAAATTAGTGATTTATAAGTCATCCCTCTACTTTGTAGAATACATTGGAAGGGGACAAGAATGGATGTAGGCAGAACAGTGAGAAGATGATTACAGCAGTGCAGCATGGCTTGGCCTATGGCCCAGGATCATCATGCAAGGTTTGGGAGACCATGCCCCGCCCAAAGGTAGCAAAGTAGGGCAGGGCTTCAGCTCCAGCGTCTGCCCAGAGAAAGGGGCTCCTTTTTCTAACTTGCATAAATGTTAGATAGACCAGTGGTATCTGAGTGATGGCCGTGGACATGTTGCAAAGTGGACAGATTTGAAAGAGATATGCTTTAGTGGCAGAGTGGACAGAATTTAGCCATGAAGTGGAGTGAAGATAAGAGAAAGGAAGAGATCACAAATGAATGCCGTGTTTCTGACCGGAGCCTTCGAATGAGTAGAAATGCACTTTGTGGGGACGGCTTAGACTAGGGCAGGAGCGTGTGTGAGGGTGAAGGTACAGTCTCCAGTTTTAAAAGAATCGACTCCTCTGAGACATGCTCTGACCCTCTCAGAAGGAATGGCCTGCACCCTCCTTTGTCCCAGAGGACAGTTCATCCTCCTCCTTTGCTGAGTCTAAGACTTCACCCAAAAGGTGGTGGTGATGGGGAGATTGGTGTGCAGTCTTAGGAGTGGACATTCACCCAACTTGAAACTCACATGATTAACTCTTACCTCCCTGGAGCAAAAAATAGGGTAAGACTAAAATAAAGCTCATGTCCTTGGAAGATAAATAGACAATATTTTTAGTTGTTTATTCATAAGTATAGGAGAAGGGGGAAAGGGTGGGGTTGCCAGGCTCAGGCAATTTTTACACTAATATTTCTCTGTACATGTATTTCCTTTTATTTTTTATTATTGTTGCTTGGTGCTTATCCAATCTATTTAAATAAAAAATTCAATTTCAGTATTTACTTGCATTTGCCTCGTTGTTCTCAAAATATTCAAATTCTGTTTCTGAAATGCCTATCATCCTCTACATTTTAAAATATATGTCCCTTATACACGATTGCTTTGCTAAGTCCATTTTTGCCTCTGTCTGCAATCTCACCTTCCTATCACTTAATTACCCCTCTTCATTTTCCTTTTCGTCTATAACTTTGCTGTATGTTAGCTGCCTTGAGTTTTTCTCTTTGGATAATAGTCCCACTTTTGTTCCAAAGAGTTAAATAATATCAAACAATGAAAGACTTTGACCTGGGTTTGTCAGCATCTGGTCAGCGTACTTTATCATCATCCTTTAAAATACAGATAGAAGTTCAGTGTAACATGAAAATTAAATAAAATCTGAATAAAATTAATTAATGCTGAGTATGTCTGATTGATGGTAAAAGCCAAGATTAGTTAACATCAAAAATAGCATCATAATTCACTTGCCTAAAAAAAAAACTATGATGAGTCTTTCACATGATCTCTAAATTCTATTACTTTCAAAACATTCTACAATCTGACCCTTCCCTGACTTTTCAATTAATGTCTCAATGGTAATGGCAATAATTAACATTTACATAGAGCTTGTTATGAGCCAGGCACAATAACTCAAGTG